AGGTCATCAACGACCGTCATTCAGGCTTTCATTCGGAAGACGAATGAAAGCCCGACTTCCGTTCGATTAGTCTGTTGCAGCACAAAAGATGACCCATGGTCGCAGTGCTGGTAACCCGTTTATTCCTATTCCTATTTTAGTTCTTCATTCCGTACGGGTTAATCGCTTATACTGCACTTCCGGGATCGCTGAACTGATTTTATAATTCTTGGTGGACGTCGTATATATTCGATTATACTATTCAGACTAGTATGCAGACTAACAAATCAATTTTATTCAGGTATTTATAACAAATTTAGTAAGTGACACAAAGAAAAAATAGAGTCTATCATCAGTGTTTTATAATGGTAACGATTATAGAAAAGAGCTCCCAGAACGTAGTTATCGTAACATAGTTCAGCTTGTCCGAACCTACTACAAATCTCATAGAGTTTATTAAAAAATATTTATGAAACTATACGCTTTATAATATACATAAAATCTTCCGCTAGCTATTAAGCCTCTTGCTCTAATCTCTCTCTCTCTCTCTCCCTTGATAACTAGAATGGGGTTCTATCCGCTGCACGCGCCTGCAATCTTCCATATTTATTCCTAAGAGAAAGTTTTAGTGGGTTTAAGTCTCACACTGTGATTTTCGATGTTTTCCAAAAATGTATGAAATCTAATACTACATAATTATGATAATAATGAAGCCCTTAATATTTAACTGCCTGAAAGTATGCAATAATAAAACCAATGCATATGAAACATATTCTAGGCATAAAAGAATCTAAACATGTTCTATTATCAAACTATGGAACGATTGCAGCCAATTTGGACTACTAATAATTTGTTAAAATTTCACTTATATAATATTTGATTTAATATAATTTCAGTATATCTCCAATATTTCCTTGTTAAAGATATTTTTATAAATTTTCATTACCAATTATGTTTCATGTCAATTTATTTTTCCTTTCTTGATTTTCGAACGCTTGGATTTATTTTTATTTTTATTTACTTATGGTATTTTTTATTTCACAATTTTTTATCCCCTTTGCTCTTTTACTTTGTTTATATTGTTTATGAGATTGTTAATGACATTAATGATTTTTATGAATTTTTCTTTTATGTGGATTTAAACAGCGGGGAGTCCAGTGTTTTACTTACAGAAAAATGGCTTGATTTGTTATTTTACCGTACAGCAAAGGATGTACATCAGTTTATGTAAACTTTGATTTGATTATATATATACAATAGCTATTCAATTCAAGTGTTTTGTAAGTAAATTTTAAAATTAAATTAAATTATTTGAACTTTTACTAATTGAAATAATTTCTTCTTCAAATGGTAAATCTCTGCTTTCAACTATGGTATATCTTGTATTTATCCATATCTATATTTTTGGTTTCCTCTGAAGTTTAATCTTTACAAATATCTTATACCACTTTTATTATGTTCTATAAATATCCTAAATTATAGTGTGCTAAATAATGTTACTATATATACGTATATTTCGAAGACTCAAATATCTTTTCCTGACTCTATAGTACACTTTTTTTTAACTTTAATTATATTTACTGCTTTCATACAATTTGGTATTTAAATTATTTAAAATTTTCACAATTTACCAACAAAAATATATCTGAAGACGAAGACTTTTTCCTTCTCTGCTTGAGATACTTTCAAGTACCAAAATCGTATGTAATTAAATTTTAAAAATTCCAACAAAATTAACAACTTCGTTTTACATCTATATTTAAGTTAAAAAGCGACAAAAATCAAAACGCCCAATTTGGCAGCTTTTAAGTACACAAAACTTTTATTGGCTGCCAAAAAAATTTTTTCAGAAAAATGCCAAAAAAAATAGCTTCCAAACCATGTAACAAGTCGTTGTTAATTAAATAGCAAATATTTTGTACTTCACGAATGCGTTTCGCAATTTTGGTCAATTTTTCTTAACTTAATTTTTAAGAAAAAATATGTAAAGTACTCATTTTGATAGCAAAGCAAATATTTCAACTTTACATATATATAATATAATTATACACAAATATACACTTTGCAATAGACAAAAAGTATCTAATTGCGTGTACCAGATACAATTGAATTGAAATTGAAAAATTAATTAACGCCTATAAAGATTTTGTGGACTCTTGGATTGAATTTGTGATGTTGTGAACTGTCTGAATCCCACGGTAAAATTTTTTCCTCAAGTAAAAATTTAAAATATGGAATAAAGCAAACATTGGACAACAATTCGCATTTATTAATTTTGACTGCTTTTTCTGCAAATATCAACAATTTGACATAAAATTGAAATGAAATTATATTTCTTTTCTCAAATCTCTTTCAATTTCTGTACCAAATGGAAATGTACAGATTTCTATTTAAATAGTAAAATTTGCCTTTGACATTAGCAATTTTTGACAAAGTATTGATTTGACAGTTTAGTACTATTCAATTTTAATTAACGCCGAATAATGAACATTTCACTACCAATAATGCAACAAAGGAATTTATAATAAACAACCTAACAACTAACTTTCCTCCACAATTTGTAGGATTATAAGTTAAATTTTTTATTATGAAAATAATATATAATAATAATATATTAAATTGATTTTTAACATCATTTATGACGAAAGAAATATATAAGCTATTGCATTCAATAGACAGCTTTTCGAACAGTAGTGAATTGCAACAACAAAATTTAATTATTTTTAATTAATAAACTCATTTTTTTGCTGACCATATAGCTGTTTCAAGTAATAGAATTTTAGAGTTATTTATTATTTTTAATTACTCGTACGAATATTTAAAATTTTTAATATATATAAAGAAAAATTAATTAATATAATATTTTAAAGAAATAATTAATATAAAAAGATAAAAATGTTTTTAAAAAGAGACATACTACTAAAAAATCCGGGATGTCATTAACATTATAAATTATTGCAAATCAAAAAAAAAATTTATTCTGAATAAAATAGCCAATAAAAGATCAAGAAAAAAATTTATCCGGAGAACCATAGTGGAATAATAAAAAACTAAAAAGAAAGAGAAAAAGATGCTATTGTTAATAATGTACCGGATTTGGAATAGGTTTATGTTGATCAGTGCAAGTAATAATTTGAGAAACAATAAACATATAGCAAAAAATGCACTTGATCGAGTACACACAGATCTCTATTAATTTCTGTAACTGAAACCGATTTTGTGATTAAAGTAATAACCAAACTCCATTATATATAACATATGATATTAAAAAGTTCAAATATTTTGATTAATATCAGCTCAAGCTCTAGAAAAAAAAAACCGTATTAAGCAGGACCATTTCTAGTAGCTTGTTTTAATTTTTAGCATATTTACTTTGTCATATTATATATATCATATATATTTACTCGAACACAAAATATCATTGTTGTAAGTATCCACAAAAAAACCTCATATTATTTTTTTAAAGACTATTAGATTAGAAATGTAGTGAATAAGAACGGATTAGAACAATAAAACTTAATTTTTAATTAATAAAAAAAATTATTTTAATTATAAAAATAAAAAATAATTATTATTTTAATTATAAAATTAATTATATTAAATATATAATTTTGAGTATATAAAATTTGTTTATATACTAATTTTTAAAGGTCCTTACAAATATTTTAATACATAATTATTTGTATATTCCTGCTATTGCGATTATCAAGTATTGAACTTATGTTCTGCCAAATTTAAAGCACAGATTCACAGTTTAGACACTTAAACCAGGTTATTAGTAAATACGAAAGATCTTCTATTTTCGCAGTGTCCAAATTAGCTGAGAGCCCAAAACCTTGTTACTCGATTGATGCACATTATTGCAAATATATATAATCCCACTAAATAACTAATTATGTATATTATTAGTAAATAAGTAATTATTAACTAATTATGTACTAATGTCAGTAATTAAGTAATTTCTATATAATAACGTGTTTTTGTATTGCATATATTCCTGATACAGGACTACCTACAACACTTCAGTCAATTTCTATTTCTTCAGTACTTTATAAAATTAGTTTCTGATAGTTTTTCAGGGTACCCAAAACAGAACTTTCTAATAATTGTACAGTAATTCCCTTATGGTATTTACTACATACTAAGAATACTAAGATTCTTCTATTGTCGCAGTATTCAAATAAACCGAGAGACCAGAACCTTGTTGTTATCGATCAAATGGCGAACATTATTAAAAATTATACTAATCCTATAGTATAGCTTATAATATTAAACAAAACGTATCAAACTTAGTAGTTAAGTAGTTCCTATAAAAGAAGCAGATAATTTCCACTTTTTCTTCTAAAACATTGAAAGATCTCTCAGAAATCTCTTCGTCAGCCAAAAGTACAAGTCCTTGTACATGCCTGTTTGTAATACAGAGACCGGTTGCAAAGAAGGTAATGTTACTAATTTCGGTTCTACTGAATATAATTAGTCTGCTATTTCGAATTGGGTTTTTGATCAGATATGTTAAGTTTAAAGAAAAATATTCTCGTTTAACCTCTTAGTTTAATTTTTTCTATATAAATCAAATATTTTTATTATTATAATTTAGCTTAATTTATTTGATTTAAAATAATAGTATTGTTTAAACACTTTTTATTATTATAATACATTGTATTTATTACAAACATTCAAATATTTTATGTTGATTTATTTTTAATTATTTAATTTAAAACGATGGGATCTCGATGATTCTTTAAAACATTGAATTAAAATTTCATAAAAATATATTCAAATTTAAAACCTTATATATAAATATATATATTACTTATATATTGTATTTTTTGCTTCAAGATTTTTTCTTAAGCATATTAATTCATCTCTAAGTATTAAAATATTTATAAAAAATTTAATATTTTTATAATTTTTTTTTAGTTTTCATTATATTAAATTTTATTTCATTTAATTTAATTACTTAAATCTAAAAAAATACAAATTTCTTTAAGAAAAAATCAAATACTTGTAATTCACTGGTTTAAATTTTTTTCTTCCTCTTTTAGACTTGTAAATTACCATTAAAGCCCATTTAATCAAGGCGCTTACAAATTGTATTTTCACCAAATGTTGTACAAAATCTTTCCGCAATGCCAAGGCGTAACTTGACAATGTACGGAAAACTAGGAATCGAAATAAAATTGAAGAAATGTACGTAATATCTTTAATCCTCGAAAGCGGCATAGATTTTGTCAAGATTGCGCAAACAAATTCTGCAATAAAAATTAGAATCCAATCATAAAGAATAACAGGAAAATTAAGGAGCTTAGGGATTGGCGTAACTGCCCCAGAGTTGATGTGGATGGTGGCTATGTTGATGCTGCTGCTGCTGCTGCTGCGCCTGTTGCTGCTGTTGCTGCTGATCCACATGTTGTTGTTGCTGATGTTGCGTATAATGCTGATAGGATGGCAGCACATTCGTTGAATGGGCATCGTAAAAGCAATTGCTGCTATTGCACGTTGTTGCTGTTGTTGGTGCTGTCGTTGATGGTGGGATTTGTGTGCCTCTGCCATTCTCGCTGACATTAAATGTATTTGCTGAGGTCGCAGCAGTCATACTGTTAGTAGTGGAGGCTGTTGCTGCTTCTAGTGGTATTAAATTGGCAACAGGTTGCAACTCTAACATATGCTGTTGCGATTTATATATCATTTGATTTGGGGATTTCACGGAATTGCTATGCAAAATTGAACTTGTTGTTGTGCCACATGTGGTAGCATTTCGTGTTGCTGCAACTGAGGCTGTTGCTGCTAATGCTGTTGTTGTTGCTGTTAAGTGTTGTATTTTTGTTGTCAGAGTCGGAGAGTGTGGTTGCTGCTGTTGTGCTGATAGTTGATTGTTATGCGCCATTGGCAGCATTTGATCCATTAGGTATTGGTCGATTTCCTTGGGATCAATGTCGCCAGCGTTAACTCCATTTAAAACTGCCGCATTGTTATTCGCTGAAATGGGCGCCATATAATTGTGTATCGGTGACCTGTCAATAGAAGATTGTAAATAATTTAATGCTCCAGTGGAGTGTGGCGTTTCGTTGCCATTATAATTTTGATACGTGGTAATAGTTGACTGATAGTTCCCATACTGTTGGTACACAGACGTAGGTGAGTGTTGGTCGGCATATGCACGACTACTCATTGGACCTATTTGATAAGTTTGTGTTGGATATAACATTTCGGAAGAAACTAATAAATCCGTTGATGTGCGCTGAAACTCATTTAGTTCAATGTTAGATGTAGTTGGATTGTTGTAGGAATGGTTTTCATCCAATGTTGTAAAATCGCGTCCCGACTCGAGTACAACTCCGTATTCAGTATTAGCCTCACTTAATTGACGCAGCAGTAAGTTTTGTTGACTTGTCATCAATTGTGTAGGTGTGCGCTTCCCTGTCAAACTGGCACTTAGCAGGCTGCTTGTTGAACTGCCCTGTGTGTAGGGTGTAGCGGGTGGCGTTAGTGGTTGTCCGTCTGCGCCGCTTGCACCTGTAGACTGCAGTGAACTTGTAGTGGAGCAAGGTGAATCCATTTGTCGCGCATATTCATAGCGGCGCTGTCCATAGTCTGCCTGATCAACATCTAAACTGCCCGTTGTATGCAAATTATGGGTTAGTAAACTTGCTGCACAGGCACTGTTGAGTGTTTTCATGAAAGTTTCATTATTGAGTATGTCACTCGCGCTGGTTATATTGTGCAGACTATCACTGCCAATACCAATATTGTTGCCATTGCTATTGCTGTTGTTGCTACTATTATTGTACATATTCAGTGTTGCTGCTTTGCCACTTAGTTTTCCTGGGTCCTGCTGTTGCTGCGGTTGCTGTTGCCTTAAAAGTTTGCCATTTAGACGATTCATTGCTGTGTTTGTATTTGACGCTTTACGACTAATGGCACTGCAATTCTTATTATCCGTAATTCGGTTATTGTTGTTCGTAATTGGCATTGCTGGTGCAGTTTTTGCGAGTGTTTGTCCTTGTAGCATTACTTCCCCACATTGCACAGCATTTGCTGACAGGGTACGCGCTTTTTTCCTACGCGGCTGGTACTTATAGTCTGGATGCTCTTGCTTATGTGTCATGCGCAATTTTTCAGCAAATTCCATAAAAGGTTTTTTATCCGAATCCTTTAAGTTTCTGAAAAAATAGAAAAAATACTAGATACTTAATATGCACAATTACTGCTTGTTTACTTTTACATTTATGTGAAGACACATAGTTAAGTAGTTATATTACACTTATTAAATAATATTAATAATAAAAGCAATGGCAACTTAATATTTCTGATGTTTTTGTTTTAAATAAGATAATTTCATTATGTTAACGACTAACTTGTTATAATTCTATTAATATAATTAATGCTAATTTAAATTTCAAATTGAATTCATTTCAGAGTACATACCTATATGAGATGTTTCACCTATGGAAATTATGTAGGCTTCCTTTAGTCTTTTACTAATATTTTAATATAAGATCATTAATCAAATTTTCATACCCTTCAGGCTTAACCTCTAATTAAATTATACTCTTGTCTGCCCAAATTTTATAACGAATTTCCTTCTCTATTTGCTTTAATTAAGACTTATTTTCCAGAACAGTGGGTTTGTATAACCCAAATGCATAAAAACCTACTTAAAATTTCTTATTTGCACACCTTGAAATTTTTGAAAGTTGTACGCAAACACAAATGCGTATTTCGTCGTGATATCGTAGATTTCGTTTCCCCAAAACGTAAAATTTATTTAATTTTAAGCAAACAAATAAATACGAATTATTTATACAATCTTATCTCATTTGTTCACCCTTTTGAAATGTTTCTTTCCCTACTTAAGAGTAAATTCAATGTTAGTTCTGGCTCTACTCCCTTCTTTCCTTTGCTTCCAACTCAACAATAAGTACAACCCACCTTGTTTTATGACTGCATTGACAATTTAATTTAATTTCTAAAGTTATGTCAGTTATGTAATGAGACATTCCTCACAAATTATATAAGACCAAGAACTTTAATTTTAGAGTTTACTTAAAATTATCTGAAGTGTTTTATTGAAGTTGAAATAATTACTTAGCGCTCCGTATTCGCATTAATTAATTTTATCGCCCGTACAGCTTATTTTTGCATTAGATGAAGAAATAATACTACCATTTAATGATTGACGTGGTATTTACCTTACTAGGATACTTTAAATATACTAGCGATACCTGTGACGACGTAGTTACTTCAGAGAAATCTAAGCTACTATAAATAAACTACTAACTTGCTGGTTTTTAAATTAGTGAGCAAGAGCCTAACATTACGAGTAATGAAGGTTATATCATTCTCAACATCCATTTGATTAAAAATCGAGAAAATATCTTCTATTTCCATTTGATTAGAAAAAATCTGGAGACATAGAATGTGTAAAATAAAGTAAACACCTCAAAACATTGCGGGTAACAGCAAAGCAGAATCTATAACTATCTGGACTTGTATTCAATTTACAACAATATATGTAGACCTGCAGTCAATACATTCGCAACATTTTTATTAAACTAAAGTAAAGCAATATAGGGAAATACTATAATCTAATGAAAAAGACATACTTTTATATGCCGAGAATATCCAACACCCATCTGTAGGCTTAGACTAATTGAATGAGTCCTAAAGCAGTGACTTAAATACACAAACGAGGCTGCATCGAACATACTCCTCTAAAATGGAGTAATTTTTCTGGTCAACAAATACAATAGTGGAACACATATAGTTGTAGTCATTGTATTGTATCAACTTAGTTACTTGGAAAAGAGTTCCAGAATGCGATTGAAGCCCTGCGAGTGTTTGTGAAACAACTTTGACATCTATATAACTTTGAGTCAGACTTATGATGCATTAATTTATAAACATATTTTATGTTATATAAACTGAACCTTAAGAAAAATTCAGTAAAAAGTGCTTACTGTTTATAAGTTAGTATTAGGCTTAGTATAACATGCTGATCTGAGATCTGAGATTTACTTAAGTCCGCTGGTCTACTGTGTTAATTTAAAATTTCAATAGATTTAGAACAATTTCTAAACTTTAATACAACTCAAAAAGCTTTTTAAGTGTAGGTCTAAATTCCTCTTGAAAGTGAGTAACCATATTGTTGAAACTATATAATGCATATACTAAAAAATGACTCTAAACCTGCAATAAACATTCCTTTCATTTAATATTCATTATCAATGTACATTTTATAATTCCCACTAAAGTTAAAATATTTAATATGGATACGTATAGTTTGTTATAATTCTCATTTAATTTACTGGATAATTCTTGTAAATAAGAATGAAATTATTAGCTGCTCATCTATACTTTAATAAAAATTTATGAAATTGTTCTTTATTGATTTTTTTATATATATCCATAGTTTCTCTGGTCTTACTTTAAATTAATTCCGAAAATTATTAATCATGGTTAATATAAAATATGGATAATATAGATATCTAAAAAAAATAACTTTAACTTAAAATAATACAAAAAAACAAATTAAGTTTATTTATTTTAATTTCAGAGTAATAATATAACAGACATTTGTAATGAGGGCATGCAGATTATAATTATATTTATTGAATGTAATTATAGCTTGCAAATAGAAGTTTTGATATATAAATTTTATAATTCTCATTCAATTTAAAATATTTCATAGGAATACTTATAATTTTTTTATAATTCTCATTTAGTTTACTGAATAAGTTCTGTAATTATAATGGCTTTGTCCAGACATGGTGTCAATATTTTAATAAAAGTTTGTAAAGTGGTGTTTCACAGTTTGTCTTTGAACTGATTTAAAAATTATTAATAATGAATTGATTAACCATAATTAGTTTATATTACAAAATAATATAATCAGTATTGATGTGTAAATAGTTTTTAAATCTTTACTCGCTTCTTAAAATTAAATATGGAGGTTTTCATTATCATAATATTAACGCAAATCAATTTCATCTATTTCCAAATCTTGAGGGGCATTTCGCTGAATAGCGTTTTACATTATGTGTTGGTCTTTATGACAGTTATAATAATCTTAGAATAATTTATTTTCATTAAAGTGCTCTTTGCTGTGTTGGAGTAATGAAATCTGATGATTAGCATGTCGTTTACTTAACGTACTTCATTGGATACGACCAACACAAATTGCTTCACAACACAATAGCCTGCTCCAGTCAACTAGATCATTGGCTTTAACTCTCATTTAGCTCTAACTAGTTGACAGTGTTGACTGCTCTAATCACGGTTGCCACTTGAAAATTTTTTTCTGTACCAAAATTGATTTAAAAAGGTACCATTTCTGTAGAAAAAGGTCCAAAATTTTTTTGTTTTCTCGTTCTGTGTTTTTCATAGTTTTATAAATGAACAAAATATAAAATAGTGCAAAGTTGCATTTATAAAAAAAATTAATTGGAAATATCCACAATAAAGTTGGGTCGTCAAAAATGTACCAGTTTTTGAACATGAGTACCAAACGAAACAAAAGTACCAATTTTGGTACTAAAGTACCATAAGTGGCAACCGTGGCTCTAATATCATTAGCTACCTGGTCCTTAGTCACCTTAACCTGACGCAGAAACTAATAAATGATTGTAACAGAGACCAGCAAGTTTGTAAGTGTGTTGTAATTATCTGTTATATCTAAATGATTAATAACCCATCTCATAATTTGATTTGTTAACTGGAAATGTAATCTTACATCTACACACCAGTACTATTACTGAACAAAAGTAAGTCATAAAAACAATTTCAATAATGATCTATATCTTTGCTGGATTTCTCGTGAATCTAATTAAATTCTCACAGCAAAATAGCAGACCGTTGAAATGACGTCTGCTAGAAATACTATGACACAATATCGTCCCTGTGAAAGTTATCGATGGTGAGCTTAATAGAATAAAAGCCAGTTTCTATTCTGCTATCCATTTTAAACGTACCTATTAAAATATAATATACAGACTAAAAGGAATATTATATATATTTCAAAAGCAACCAGTGCTAGGGTTGCCCGCTATAAATTTTTTTTTAATAACTGGTTTTTAATTTTTGCCATCATTTATGGCAACATATTGATATGTATGTCACGATATGTCACGAAATTTAAATTATAATTACTAGTTGACCCCACTAATTTATGATACATTAGATATATATCTCTCAAATTAGTTTAGACCTTGCTAATTTCACACCCTTAATATTAAATAGCATTTTTTGTTATAAAAATATCTTATAAACTAACATAATAAAAATATTCTTCAACTTAAACATTTTTAATAATTTTTAACAAAAAGCCAATATTAGTATTTGATTACACAGAAATATTTGAGACATCATAAATACCCGTATTATTAAATCAGATAAATAATAAAAACTCAGAAATATGAGTTTATACATTATCAATTATTAAATTAGTGATTCACTGCCTTATTATTAGACAAATATAAAAATATTTTTAATATTGAGTTAATTTTATTTATTATAAGAATTCTTCTTCGCTGTTAATTTATAATTCCTAATGAAGCTAAAATATTTCAAGCACGCTAACGAGGTCTTATCATCGAATTGAAAGTGATGGGGCGCTTATCTCTTCGCATTCTCAATGAACCACAAAATTTTTATTTTATTTTTAATGTCGCGGGAATTTATTATAAAAAACATTAACAAAAAAAATTTATTTCATAAATATTTAAAATTATATTTCAAATCATTCACAAGTTTTATTTTTTTAAGTTATGACTTCGTAATAAAAAAAGAGTGCGGGTATATAAAACTACTAAACATAATTGAGTTCATAATACTCTATTTGCATTGTTTAAATTTCAGCACTTTTAATTTCAAAGGCCTATAGAAGAAGAAGAAATTTATTCCCTTTTGAATATTAGATTTTAGTTTAAAGATATTAAGAATACAGAGGTTTAAAGCCTCTGTAAATTTCTTCTTCTTCTATTTTTCTACTATATTCTTCTATTCCTTCTTTAGATCATTAATCTTTTATGGTAGAATTTTCGTCAAAATTCGTAGATTAACACATTTTTATGAAATTATAAAAATATGTACAGACATTACTATTCAAAAAATAGTGTATCTTTTCCATAAAATTTGATCAGACTTATCTTTTGATTTTATTTATATATTTAACAGATTTAAATATTTAACGGAATATCTTGAAAACGTAATTATGATGACATTTGTTGCTTTCATGAGATTTCTGAAGATTTTTTTTTTATCTTCCGTAGTTTTAGTGAAGTTAAATTGCACTCCAGAATTTTTATTCTAGAATTTAAGTGCAGTTAGTTTGCACTTATTTTTTCCTCTTTCTAATCCATAAAGATTTATTATAATATTGTTATTAAAATATAAAATATTGTATTTATTATTCTCGATACTTGTTGCATTGAATGCAAATAATATTGATTTTTATTTGATATTTAGACCTTCTCTCTAAACCAAAGTCAACTGAATTTCATACTTCAGTGTAAATTGAAATAAAAATTTGATGTCATAATATTTTTAATACCAAGAAGTGCACTATCATCCTTTTACACCTGTTTTTTGGTTTTCTGAGTTATATTTCAAGGCAATAACAACATAAAAAGAAAATTGATTGATAACACTGCTTAAATTGACATTAGTCTCACGAAGGATCCACTAAGCAAGGTATTTACACAAAAAACAAAAGACAAGTTAACTAACTACCTTAAAAGTCATCATAATCATGTAAAAAAATATAATCAATAAAAAATATACTAAATTTGTGTTATCTTTGTTCGAAAAAAAAACTAGAGAACGCTAGTCGATATTTAAATCAGGCGCTGTATGGTTTCAACATAAACCCATAGACTTAATTTTACCCTCAATGATGAAAAAACTGAGTACAAGGAACCAAATGTTAAAAATACTTTAGGACATCTGCTTATTGCTGACACGCTCTCACATTAGTTCGCGAAGATTGTATATCGTACCCGATATTTGAGAGAATTTTCTCTTGAAACTCTCAAATGACACGCATATTTTTAATAATGTGTACACTACCTTTAAGGACTCTAAATAGGTTTTACTAAATATTAATCAGGTTTATATGTGATTTTGACCAGCCATCTCTACCTATCTATATAATTTTCATTTTTTTGAGAATTTAAATTAATTGGTGAATTCTACATTACATTTAATATAACCTCAAATTAGTTTAAGTTTTATTCTTGAAAACTTACTACATAATTTCATCAATTCAGAATTAAATAACTAAATTCATTATATTTTATGTTGAGTAAAAAATGATTTAATTCAATTATATTAAAATTATATTAATTATATTAAAATATCATTAACTTTAACGAATAAGTTTAAATTTTTTCCAGTGTAAATTAAACAACAGTACAAGTCCCATCTACATAGACAACAATAATTACTTTTATGTCCTTTGCAATTGCACTTTTCCAATTTTCCTATCGCTGAGATCTCGACAGCTCATGGCCACCAAAAATTGAAAATTTTTTAACAACTTTTTATGGCTGCAGAATAAAATCAATTGAAGATGCAAAGGAATGTGATTTTCAGCATATGCAGCACAGATACGTTTTTGTCCCATGTGTAAAAGTGCCAACCAATATTCAATTTTCATGCCATTTAAGTTATTTTTCGCCATTAGCAATAATCTCTTGGACGGTATAGTATGCAGTCATATGTCTATAAAAATTTATTTGGTTTGAATTTATTGCAAATGATATTACCTTCCCTTTATTGCAATTTTCTTTTTACTATCCAGTAAACTTTATGCTGGGAAAGAATATAATACATATTTCCTTTATTTTTTGTTTTTAAAGAAAGTTTATTATAGTTTGTAACAAAAATTCTAAGGATTGAATCTTAATTTGATGAGGACATAACCATAACTGAATTAAAATATATAACTTTATTATAAATTATATTATTTTTTTATATATTATGTATAAATTTTTAAATTTAATTTAAAGTATGGAACTCTTTGGAACTTCTTTGGCAGTCTATCAGACTGTTCATCGGTGAAGACGTGAGACCTAAATTATATAAATTTGACGGAATAGATTTAGTCTTCATTCTTTTATACTAGGTGTTATTGCGAGATATGTGGTAGCAAAACGCCGAAATATTGCTGATTGAGGTACCATGAAATTGTCGTATTTCAAAAGCAATTAGATCTATATTGCATAGCTATTTCTGCACAATAGCTATGTGACACTCTTGAAACCTTCTTGAAATTTTGCGATTCGAAAGACAAACAAATCAATAATGTTTTTCACTGTTAGTAAAACAACACAGATTAAAACAACAACAACCTGAAACCATCTAAAAAAATTTTATTGAAATGAAAAACTCTTAAAGTCAAATTAATAATATTTTCCAAAATTTTCAAACATGTATCACATGTTTTCCATACTTTCGTTTTTAGTTTAAGTTAGTTTAGGCTAGGGTTAAGTAATCATACCAAATAGTTAGAACGCTTCAGACCAAATGGCAACATGTGTTAAAAGTATTTCTATATCTACAATTAGTTAGGTATCTATTTGCAGTGCTTACCACGACCTAAACAATTGCTCAGAGATATATTTTATATTAGCAAAACCAAAATGTTTGCTTCACATTTTTTTTTAGAGTTATATACTATTATTATATAAAGTCCATTTAATAATAATATTATTATTTAGTACGATTTAGCACTTTAGCGTAGATATCTAATATGGTCTCAATTTTTCTTTATATCAATAAGATATAAATACATTAACATAAGCGATTTATCATATTTATGATAGTCACTAGGTTGTTATTCAATCTGATTAAAATGAACAAAGTTTTAGATATGGGTTTCTTGGCTAAAGTTTTTTTCATACAGACTTCTTTCTAAACAGTATATCTTTAGGGATTTTCAGTATGTTTATATTTATGTCTCGCTTTCAACATTAAAAAAAACATCCTGTATATAATATTAGATTATATCATATTTAAACAATTTTTATGGAGTATTTATGAAATATAGTATAGATTGATTAAGTAAACTTTAGATTTTGAATATAATCAGATTTCTAATAATCAATTGTTTGAACGCAGAATCTTTTTCAATGGAGAATAATTTTGAAAAGTAGTAAATCACAACAATAAAATTTTATTACATATAATTAATTGAATTTTTGATTGAGAGTAGGATTGAGGATTTTTGAAAATATTTTTAGTGCTTAATTTTTTATAAATGATTTTTTGAGACTTAATGTACCACAGGTTGAACTCATACCCTGCCAAATTTGAAGCTCAGAGTCAGTGTTCATTAGCCAACTGACCCAAAGCCGTGTTTAACTTATATATTCGAACTTGGAGTAAATTTGCTGTGAAAATTGATCAACAAATTCACTCTTGATTAGTGTTATATTAGAATAAAATCATAAACCAGCTGTAGAATTGAGTAAATTAATTATGTTTTATTTTTAATTTTTAAATTTTAATATTATTTTTTTGTAAAGAGGTTATTTATTGCATTATTTCAGAATAATTTCTAATATAATTTCATATTTCAATTATTATAAAAATTCGTCCTTTTATTAATGTTTTCCAAGTAAAGCTTTTCCCCTCAAATAGTATATAATGCTGTAAGCGAACTCTACTTATTAGATATGAAACAATAACGTATTTAACATACTCTTCAGAGGGTTTCAAATATATTAAATACTTACTTCCACAACTTTCCTAATGATTTACTAAGTTCCGAGTTTTGTAGGTGAGGATATTGTTTTGACATAACACGTCGTGCTGCTTGTGCCCAAACCATAAAAGCATTCATTGGCCTTTTTATATGATCCTTTTTACGATCTGAAGGAACTCTAAAATAGAAAATATATGCATTATTTATTACTATACTATTAATTATAATAATCATCTTTATTAAAAGTTATGTTTATAAGCATTTTATGATCATATGTCGGAGCTGTAGTAATAAAAGAAAATGCTTAAATAAACTAATTTTTAGCTTATTAACGCATTTTGGGATTTTGATATAAGGATTTTGAAACACAAACTAAATATTTTCTGACTTTAACTTGAGATGAAAATTTCCGGAAAAGAATATATAGAATATTTTATGCGAAACCATTAAAAAGTTTACAGCTTCACAACAAAGTTTTGCTGTACCGAAGTGCAGTTAACGTTTTGCTGCAACACCAGACTGCACTCTCGAAATTTAATTGCAATAAGTATGACTGGAGCAAAAGTTTTACTTTTTAATTAATTATATGAGAATGAAAACTGATGCATAATTTATTTACAACTCAAACTGAAACTGAAACAAATTAATATTAGTAAAAAACTACTTAGGCTTAACCGATATAAATAATAAACAAAAATTTGTTTGAGTATATATCTGAACTTATCCGTACTTCATAAAAATTAACATAAACTTGAAAGGAGATGAAAATGAAAAAAAATCAGATGAAAACTTGTGCTGAGTTTAAAATTAAACCACAAAATTTTTTGGAATTTAAATCATTATAGTTCACATACCATTTTTCAGGGGCTGAAGTAAAGTTCACCAAATTTTTTATTCACAGAATTTAAAAATTCAGTTCGCCTTGTGCCTCTGCATGAGATTTTACTTTAAGGCTCATAAAAGTAGTAAAGCAAGGACTATAAAATTTTCTTTTACAATGTAAAATGTAGTTTTGCTTAAAGTTTTATAAAAACTTTACATGACAGTAGAGAATGTCGTAAATGTTAGATATTATGTGAGAAAATTTGTATAAAATACTTTCTGCAGCGAGAATGTTCAGGTACTGACAGTTTTTCTTTAAAGCGTAAGTAGTAAATTACTTTCACAAGTTTTATGCGTCACCTCAGCTGGTTGACATTGTTGAAATATATTATTTGTCCCCTTAAAAGGAATGCTTTTACTTTTGGTTGTTATTCTGATATTTTTTCCGCTACATACTTCACCATAAGTAATATAAAAAAATACTGTGTGGTCCTAAAAGGTGAAAATATTTATAATCCTTAGTTTAAATTGCAGTTTCTTTCATGGCATCAAGAATACGAAGGTTTAAACGGGTTAACTACCTTACCAAGCTAAGAGCCTAGTATTAATTAACTGGACTTGAGTCATTCTGTGAACTTGTAAAGAGCTCTCTGTGCTCAAATTCTAAAAAATATGCTTATTAAAAAATCTCTAGATAAGTTGTGAGTTAAATATTTGCCAAAAAATTCATTAAAACTATTTAAGACAGTCTAAGATCAGATTCTTGCACAAAATATATAGGCTATTAAAATATCCAGAAAAATTGTGATAAAACAATGCATTTGAGATGCCATCTCGACAAAATGGGCTTTTAGGCACTAGTATATGCAATTTCTGTGCAATACTATCTCGACAAAATGGGCTTTTTGGACACTAGTATCTGCAATTTCTGTGCAATACTATCTAGACAAAATGGGCTTTTAGACACTAGTATCTGCAATTTCTGTGCTATATGTATTGAAATGTCTGAACACATTATCTGTTAATGCAAAAATCTGAACAGTAGCACACTTGTTCATTTTAGGAACAGACTCGTTGCATTCCTTGCCATATTATTTCTCTTAGTTTAATTTTCTCTTTAAATGTTTGTATTTAATCTATTGTTTTTTATCGAGTCTTATTTCATCATCTGATATGAGGTTCTCTCCTAGATAGCCTTGACGATTTTTTCGTTTATGCATCAGTGCAAGACTAGAACCTAACACGTTTTCTGTAATCACATTCTCTTTTCTACAAGACAATACAATTTAAAGAACAAACGAAATCATCCAAGATGTTCAAATTCATTGAAAAGTTAAGAATCGGTAAAACACTAAGGAACTGGGTAAAGTGAATTATATAAAAAACATTATATATGCAATATACCGTAAGGCTTGCTCTTAAAGTTGTTGCAAACACGGAGGAGCTTACGCTCGAGAAGATGGTTTCCTTTCATTTGAGCAGAGCTGATTGCAGACACATCTTCAAACTAGCTTTTAAAGATTCTTGATCTAATGAATTGGTTTCCTTTGACACATATTTTATGTATATATATTCATCAACTTTCACTAGAGCCATTGCATCTACAATTTTATTTGACTGTAGCGCTTTCTAAAGTCGGTTTCGGCTTATTTAAAAATCTTCTTTTGCTTAATTCTCATCTTTTCTTTATGAGTATTTAGCAAGTAAATGTCTTTCATTGTTTATGGTTTTTCATTTAGACTGAAAAATTTTAACTGCAAGAAAAATCATTGTCATAAACATGAAAATCTCTACAATCTTGCAATATTTCCATTTTGTACTTTTTTATTTATAATTTTAGATTTGATTTTCCTACTCAGAAGTGGTTATTCCGGATGGTTGCGTTTGGGTTAAGGATTTTCTTCATTTTTTGTTTTTAAAATAATTTTAATTTTGTCTCAAAAAAAATTTTAAGAATTTCTGAAGGCAAGTGAACTCAAATTAAAAAAAAATTATATATAAAAGAAATTTAAATATGTTTAAAATGTGGTTATTAAACCGCAGTATTTAATTATTACAGAAAAATAAAAAATAATTAGTAAGGTTGGGTTATTTTCCGTAATGGTATAACGTATCATACCACTTATTCTTATGGTACTCCGTTTTCAGAATATGCTTTCTTGTTATGAAAATATATTTCTTAAAGAATAAAATTTTTAAAAGGAATCTATTTAAGACTGCTTTCGTTAGGTTAATCTATCTTCGACCTTCACAATTGTACCATTACTTCTGGCGCATGAACTGACTTGAAATAAGTTTTTGTGAGCCGGAATTCGAACTTAGAACACTGATACTTGATATGAAAAGTTTTTCATACAATTGTTATATAAACTGATTAAGTATGTGACTGAATTACTTAATCAGAACTGAATTTACAACTGCTATGAAGAGGATTAAGTAGCGCTACCTTTTGGAACATCAAAAAATTAAACTAGCGCTTAAGGTAAAATACTTCAAATATAAATACTGAGATACTGAGTCTGTATAAAGAGGCTATAAGTCTGTCAAGCCAAACTCTATTGAAATATCGTCAAACTCTGCAGAACACTACACTCGTACTTAAAACCAAATTTTAATCCGCCTTTTTCCCTTAAGCTGTACTAGTGCGAAAGGCTTAAATAATATTTATTGAGGAATGGAAAGTTTTATGGTAGCTTTGTGCGCCATAAATATTTTGGCTTAATAGCTTAGAGAGACAAGCAAGATGCTAACATAGCATCTTTGCCTGTTTATTGATTAAATTGATTTAGACACTTCTTCCACTCAGTTGTAATTTTGTAGTGAAATTAAAAGTACTATTTTTTATTTATTTTGGAATTAATTAAATTATTTCTAAAATATAGCCAAATCCTATATATAATTTTTTTGTTAGGTATGCTTTTAATCTCTGCTTATTGCAATGCAAATAATGAGCTTGAAAAACAATTTAAAAGTGCAACAAAATAATGAAAGCCAAAACGAAATTCCATTCTGTCATAAATCAAAAAACAACAAACTTTCCGTTCTAACACTCACCACGACGACGTCAACAAATTGTTGGTGTGCCCGGAGCAGAAGATACAATGGAATTGCGGTAGGAGTAAGTTTGCAACAATGCGAAAAGTAGTAAATGCGATTTTATAGTTACAATGAGAAACTTTTCACAGAAAGTAGAAATGCAATTGTATCCTTAATAAAGAACGACTGAGTCCTCGACGGAGTCGAATACTATCAGAATGCAAGGCTGTAGTAATGTACTGCGTAACTGCATGGCAGGCACGTGTATTTGCCACACCAATCGGTATAGTCTGGCCGTTATACTTTGTACTGGTGCCCACCAGCAGAGATTGCAATTTAATTCCAAGTTTTTGAAACTTAAGCACACTTTTCCATTTTCCATAAAATACAAAATAATTGAATTTCTCGTGAAGACTTTCCTACTTTCTGGGAGATTTGTAGCTAGAAAAATGTTATAAATAAGAGTGTGAGGCTGCAACAAAGTGGCAATGATAATAATTATGCGCCAACAAACTCGTAACTGACAACTTAAGTGGCAGTAATTAAAATTTTAATTACGACAAGCGCACTTCACAAGAGTTTTTCAAATCTGAAACAACAAAATCCGAGCATGTCTATTATGATTCTGCTAAACACTTCATGCGGTGTGGGAGGGAAAAAAATTGGCGGTAGTATCTAGTATACATTATGGCACAGATTATTTGGCGATTTTGTTATCTACTCAAGTTGTTGCCAAAATTTGTTGACACTCTTAACAGAACTTGGTTTATTATTCAATTAAAAATTCAAGCAAAAGAAATCAGCATTTTTTTTCATCTGAACCGCCTTAATTAAATTTTTAATAAAATAAAAAATATCATAAAAAGGTTTTTAGAACAGTAGTGAACTACAACAACAAAAATTCATTTTATATTATTTTAATTAATTGAATTTTTGGCTGACCATACAGCTGTTTCGAGTATTGCAAAAGCTGTAACGAGTATTTCCTGTTTAGGTAAGAAATTAGTATTATCTCATATACATATGTACATATTTAAAGTATATATATGTATAAGTAGACTACTTAAGAATGTTATTTGCAGATAATCTTTACTATGCTACTATTCCGAAGACAATATGATACTGCGTCAGAAATCATTTGTCAATTACTTGTACCGAATCAAGTACTTCAAGTTATCATTTAATGAGCTTTGCTCATCTTAAATGTGCTGTCAAAATAATACAAAGCAAAAAAAAAATAAAAAAAAGATATCCCCCGTTTGAAGTAATAATACGAAAAGCAGCAAGCGCAAAGTAACAATATTCAGAACTGCATAACACATCACTTGATACTGATTAGCACGATCTGAAGCGTAGAGGATGCCATAAAAGATATTTTCGCTGCATTTTATTTTCATATTCAACTCAAATGTGTGCAATATTCCGATTCGTATGAGTCCGCAATGCACTTGTGTCATGTGTCAATTACCAACCAAAGATACTCTGCTGATACATTAAATATGAAAACTGTTTCTTATGAGTATCTGCAAGATAGGAGTAAAATTTATGTGCACCAATAATATTAAGTAAGAAAGGGAGAAATACTCATGCACCAAAATGCGCAACGGAAGATACTTATTGCATTTAATCACTCTCGGTTATATTATAGAATTTTTATCTTTTAATAAGAGATTTTAAGTGTAATTGACTGCATACTAAGAACATTTTGATAATTTTAAGAATTTCATTTGTTATATGCTGGTATTTGATTACGAAATTTATTTCAACATTCAATTTGAAAAATTCCAGCACAGATACATGTTGTCCCCAAGGCAAATAATAATTCGATGCGAAAGCATGTAAGTGTACGTGCATCTCAAAGTGTTCAGTGCTTCAGTGCGAGCTTGCGAAGTAGCTCGAATGTCTCTACGACTTCTCGAATTCAGTAAAAATTGAAACACGCAACGTTGTAGATTGCCAAAATTCTGCTTTTGTCTGGTTTTAACTTTTACACAGGAGTACGTTTCAGTTAGGAAAATTAGTATTTGTTAGCTAAGCATAACATGAAATTCAAATACGATGAAAGTGCAAAACTGCTTCCAGTATCTCAGAAGAGTTGACGTAAACCAATACATTTGCTATGACTTAATGTGATGAAAGTGTTAACTACCAGAGGGAATATTTACAATGGTTTCAAGAATAAACTTAGTCAGCTACTTTAAGTCTGTAATAGAGCAAAGATGAAAATACTCAGTCAGCAACTTTGAAATAACAAATGAAAACTTTGTCAGGCTTAAATTTAATTTAAATTCATATTATTTTATTTCTTAATATTTGTATTCAAAGAAATTCTATAATTAAAACTTTATACATTAAAAATATAATACCACCTGCTAGGCTTGCTTACACTCAGAAAAATAATTTGATTGATTTAAACAAATTTAAACTAAATCTCAGGTCAAAATGTTCTGACTCGACGTCTCATGTTGGTTCAACCATACCACATCTTAGCTTTCATATCTACATGAGTTAAAATTTTTCTAACAAAATGATCAGGTTAATTGTACTAGTGTATGGTTAGGACGTACTTTTTTGAGTGTACAAGCCACATTTTCTTATCACATTTATTTTTATAATATAGAGGGATTTTACACTATTTATTATGTACTAAATACTGTCAATCTTTATTTCTATTATTTTATAATATTAGGGGACTTTGCACTATTGTGCCCCTTTAAGAACTCCGAGTTCCTTCTCCAACTCGAGCTACCTCTATAAATTTCAATATTAAAAATATATTTTAAAAAAATATTTTTCACATAATGTAGTATGTCTACCTAAGTACATTTACATCGCTAACAGGCAAACTCTATGTACGTATTTTGAGACTATATTATCTTACCTAATAAATCTGCAAGTTCTATTAAAGTAATTGACCAGTTTTTTAAAGTAAAACTTCAATAAACAGTACTCTTTTAGAATCCCTGTAATGGTTCTTAAATTTTTTTTTTAATTAATTGTGTACAATCACTAAATCGATTTAAGTGAAAAGTTTTTATAAGCGATATTGATTCTGCTAGCCCTTACAGAATATCCTAGTTTCTTCTTTTTTTGTGAATGGGTAAAAAAAATATCCACTCTCAAGCCAGATAATAGCATAATCGTTCCGAGTCTACAAACAACGAGTTCATAATTTCATTGCCGAAAATTCCAACGTGACCTAGAAATATATCTGACTGTTTTAAGTAACCATATACAGCTATTCAATGTGGAATCAATTTTGAAATAATCTAAAGAGAATTAAGATTATGGTAAAATGAGATTATATGATTCTAGTACTTGCGTTTAAAATCAAAGTACAAACATCTGTCCATCGCATAAACTTTTGCCTGAAAGGTACTTGTGTTTTCACATAGTGTTACCGAGTATTTCAGACTAGGTCAATAAATATCTGGTTTAACTCTACCTTTAGTAAAGTAACTAAAGTCCGTATACCAAGCCAGCTCGGTTGAATTTATTTATAACAAATCTGTTCTTAAAGCAGAACATATATGGAACAAGTGGATAAAGTATATACAAAACAACTTCTAATCGAACTATTAAACATTCCATCTATGGTATTAAACGAATACCATTGATCATGATAGTAACTTAGGTCTTTAACTTCAAATACAAAATACAATATGAATGGCTTTTACTATTAAAAACATTACAAGTAAGAGAAATTAAATTAAGAAATAATATTATTTATTTTTAGAAATTAAGAGAATTTCCAAAGTAACAACCAGTTGAATAACGAGGAACACCAGAACAATATAGACCCATGCATGCAGGGCAACACTAACACATGTAACTAATATTTATAAGTATTAATAAAATAAAATATTTTTCAATATCTAAAAATTATAAAATAGTGTGCGTTACATTTTTAAAAACTAAAAAAATTATTTTTTAATTAAAAATCTTTTAACTTGCATTTTAAAATTTTTATAATAGAGTTAGTTTCAAAATTTCTTTGTGAAAAAAAAAATTTAAATTGAACGTGTAAGAAATAGTAGACACAATGCCAAGGAAGGGTCAGTTTACTTGTTTATTTTTTTATTAATAACATTATTAATAACAATAATAATAATATCTTATATCTAATATTCTTTAATTACTTTTTTTAGTGGTCAAATCTATACCAATAGCTGCTTATGTAGGGCTCGTTGAAAACATTAATAGTCTACCGCAAGATCTTAAGAAAATCGTTAATGAAGTGGAAAGTGGAAAGCGAATAATTGTTGACAACGACGGGGATTATATACAAATTCCAAACTGCGGAAAGGTAGATTTAATCATTTTTTTTAATAAACAATTTGAGACAATATAAATTCTTTTTATAACATATTTTAGAGATCTGCACAAAAAAAAGTTATCGAGCAGGAGCAGCCACTACAGGAACCACCAACACCAACCCCATTGAATAAATTGCCTGTTTTATGTTCCGTACTGCTAACTTGCATCGTTATAGTAATTATTTTGTATCTCTACTGAAACGATATTAAGTTGGATCTTCAGAAGCGTCTATTCTTGATGGGTTATAAGAAAATCGTTTTCACACAGAAGCAACGACTAGAACCACCAAATCGGATGACTATTAACTGCCTGTTGCGTATTGTGTAATGGCGATTTTCTAATGTAGCGATGTGAAGTTAGGACTTCAATAAATCATGCGATTAGTTTTTTGTTATACTTTAGGATGACTATTACTTGCCTGTAGTGTATTGGATGATGGCGATTTTCTAAAAAAACGATGTGAAGTTAGGACTTCAATACATCTTCTCGCGACTAGTTTTTTGATATACGTTGATAAATATATTTTATACTAATTGAGTAAATATGCAATAATAAATAAGCATTTCAATAGCATAAATAAAAAAAAAAGAAGTTTTTTTATCATTAGTTCATATGGATTCAGTTTTAGTTGCTACACAAAACTATTTGCACGCATACGCCCATACCTTTATCATCGGTCAATCACATTTTTGAGTGAGCGTAGGGGTTGGAGTGAGACTATGGACTCTACTTTCATTTTGAAATATAACTTTCAATGCACTTGTAGAATATGTATGTCGCCTCATGTTTCCAACCTTGCCCATATCAATGACTATCACCCACTAAAAAAAGAGAATGAAATTGGCAAGTACATCAGTGCAATGAAATGTACAACCATGAGGAAGTAAAGGTTCTAGTAAATTGAATTTTTTTTTTCAGACTCTTCATCGATTTATTGTCCGCTATAAATTTTTTTTAAAATCCTTAATTTTTACTGCTTTTTGATAACATTTTTATACAGATAACAACTCTAAAATAAAAATCATTAAAAGAATTATTTGACTTTATATACCATATGTACGTGTATATCCATTTTATCACTTTAATTGCCATTATCCTGTAGCGTATAAGCATTTTATTTGTGTTAGTCTTTCAGAGACTTAATGTCGAATTATACATTCATCAAACAGAATTGTTCATGTGTCATGCATTAAGTATCCTTTCACGCCACTTTTGTTCATTGATTTGATTTACTGCTTATATCATCTGAGGCTTGAAACGCTTGAAGTAGGCGTCTCAAATTATAATAGATACTCAAACAAATTCACTTTTATGCATATATAGATACTTATGTATATGCGCATGTATGTATGTGTATATAATATATAAATATAAATATAAATAAAAACTGTATCAATATAGCCGCATGAACCTCTGCACCATTCAGACTGTTTTTGTACTCTTTGAGTTTGTTCACAATATGATAATGTTTGCTTAGGATAAACAATTCAATATGGGCAGAATAAAGTGAATTTACCGTTTTTCACGCTGTCAATTCAGAGGCTTTCTCTTCGCTTCAATATTTCCCATCGCTACTCGATTTTTTATATCTTTCGTATATGTAAACTGTCGAAACTTGTCTTTTTTTGTATCTTTTATATTTGATTTCTGCTTGGATAAGTGATTGATGTACTCTTGTCTGCTTGTAGGAGTGTGAAATTTTTATTTGCTCAGTTAACCAAGCAAATAAAACGAAAATATTTATTACTGTTTACTCTTGTATGTTAAAATAAAACAGAATTGAAATTTAATACTTTAATTACAAAATAATTTATATATGAATTATTTTAAATTACAAAAATGTGTTTTAATCTAAAAATTTTCTCTAATCCACAATCAAATTAAATATTCAAAACAAAAAAAATTGAACTTGCATTTAAAAGTAAGCCTAAATGTGATTATATTTAGTTTACATATAAAATTAATATTCTGTTATGTTAATCTTAAATAATTGTAATAAAATTTTATAAATACAAAATAATATACATACAAACATATCAACACATATATGAAGACTCGCATGTTCTTCTTCTTATTTGACACTAGAGTGAGAACCTTGGTCTCCCTAAGAAGGTTGCGTAGCGGTAAAATTTTTCCGATGCAAATTTGCTGGCCTTGCGTTCAACACACAATCTGGAGCGCGAGATCTCCTTATTTGCTAACCTCGAGATAGGATTGATGTTTAGTAGTTAGAGCATTTACGCTCAACTATATATTTTCAGGTTCTATCGCATGTTATGTAAATTAATATTTTAAAGGTTAGAGAGAAACTTTCTAGAGCAACAATCATCATAAGTCAAATTTTGTTAGTTCAAGAGAGGTGTCTAACCAGTAAATAAAATAAACAAAAATTTAACTTTAGAAATTCATACCTTAAAAAATGATACTCGATCTACAAAGATGTTTGACAACAGAGATGTTCGATCAACAGGAGTTTTCGATTAGCGGTGTTATCCGATTGACAGTGGTATTTGAACAAGGATTTCGATCAATAAAAATGTCCGATTAATAAATGGATCCAATCACTATGGATGTCTGAACAATTAAGAAATCAAATGATCAACAGGGGTGTCCGATCAAAAGAAATGTCTGATCAGCAGGGCTTATTTATAATTAACAGAGAAGTACAAGAAATCATAAGTAGTATACAATCAACTAGGAAATTCGATCAATAACTATCAGATCAACAGAAGTGGCCGATCATCAGAGACTATCCGATCAACATCGGTTTCTGAGCACCATGGGCCAATATGGGTATCCGATCAATATAGGTGTCCAATAATAAGGGTGTCCGATCAATAAAGTTGTCCGATCAACAAGGATGTCCGATTTACAGGTGCAACTCATCAACAGAGATATTTGATCAACAGGCGTGTCCGATCAACATGGGTATTCGATAAACAGGAGCGTTCTATCAACAAGGCCGATGAATCATCAGAGGTTGTTTGTTCAACAGAGTTTGTTCGATCAACACAAATTGTCCAATCAATATTTGTGTACGATTAGTAGGGATGTTCGAACTACAGGGATATCCAATCAACAAACGTGTTCGACCAACGGGGCGTCCGAACAACAGGGGCGTTCGATCCATGGTATCTAATTCAAATGGATGTTCAATTAACTGGGGTGTCCAATCAAGAGGAGTGTCCATTAGAAGATTTTCGGTCTATAAATAAATGCATATATATAAACGATGTTTAAAGAGTTATTTGTTGAGCCGGGCAAAAGATAGCATACACGTGTATTTAGTAAGCTCGAACAAACATGTATGAAGACAGCCACCCTATTTATTACTTTTGTATACAATTGCGCAAGAATATCATAAACTTCATCAAATTCCAATTGATTCCAATTAAATTGGCAATAGTGAAATGCTTGTACGTGTAAATCTTTACGAATACTTGAAGTAAACCAATTAATGTAATTATCGAAGCAAAATTCAAACAGAGTAACGCTAATGTTCATATCTGTGCTCGATTAAGAAAAAAGTGACTTCAATATCTGATTTAAGTACTTTACTAAATGGTGATTAGATTTTTTTTGAATTCAAATTTATTTTTCAAACATTCTTAAGTATCTATTACCATTGTTCTTTTTCAGTAATATTTAATTGTAGAATAATTTACAAATATTTGCCAACTATTTCTTAGATCTAATGTTGAGCAATTTTTATTTTCACTCCTAAAATAATTAAACCTCCTTTTGTGCCGCATAAATTATTTATTATTTCCTAGAAAGTTTTATTTGTCATAAAATACATGTACTCAAATCTCCGAGTTTTATGCTCATAAAAGATTCAGTTTGAAGTACTTTTCACCACTGATGCAATTTATTTTAATTATTTATTTAAATATTGTATTTCAATGAAAAGATAGATGACTAACAAAGTCCAAAAGTGAAGAGCACTAAAATATTTGCGTTTCAACCAAATTCTCTTATCATCCAACGGCAGTGCAGAAGTCCAAATGTAAATAAAATTTTAAACTAGAAAACGAGAAGTTGTTAGCAACTTCTAAGCACCGCAATGACCTTCTGATACTGGATGACATTCGTAGAAATGCAATATTTCAACCGAATTCGGAGGCTACGGAAAAAAGTAGTACGCAATCTGAAAACAAACTGGCGTGGGAAACTGAAATTGTAGCGATTCTGTGTAGTACCGCGTTTTTATTTTTGTCAAATAATGTCGCTACTCAAACGCCTGCCGCTGCGCCCAGCTCACAGCATCTCACATCTCAGTGCCTCTGTATCTTTTTATGCGTTTGTTAATGTTTTTCTTTAAACTGCATTTGCATGAAAATTAATTTGTTTGCTGAGAGAAAACATCGAACGTCGAAAGGTGCTAATTACGCGTATTTGTTGCAATAAAAACTGTATTTTTACACATTTAGCATTTCACATTGTGCCTGAGACATGAATAGAATAATTTCAGAAATATTTACCATGGCTCATTTGAACTTCGTAACATTTTCACATTTCAATAAGTGCAATAAAACGATGGGAAAACTTACATTGCAAGTGAAAATACACAATGATAAGATTAAAGACTGTGAATTAATGTATAAAAGCTTTCTAATTAATGGAGTTTACGATTTTCTTATAATAGTTGGAGATGTTAAAAATCTATTTTTATGGCAAATATAGTAAAACATGTAAATTTTGTATATAATCATGCAATTTATTATTAAATTCAAAACGAAAATGTATTCAGTTGATCATATCAAGTTCATCTCGATTCTTGTGAAAGCTCACAAAAGCCCAAGAAATAGGAAGCAGATAGCACAAAAATAATAATGAATAACTAAAATTGTTATATTATAATATAATCTGAACGGATCCACTAAAGATCGTCAGTATAACCTAACGTAACCTATTATAATATTAAAAACTTAAGTTAGATTAGATTATACCGACGATCGCAGTGGGATCCACTTAGGCCCTTAGCTCCATTATGCTACCTATTGTAAAAAAACTTACTATCTATAAATAAAAATAAATATTGTCTATAAACTGCGTAGACAGTATTAACATATTAACTACAGTAAAAGCTATATAAAGCGAAAATAACTCTGTCCTTTAAAATAACGTATTTTGATTCATTGTACTTTACGGTAATCAATATATTTGTTTCAAAAAATAGGAACGAAATAATTTGCAGTCTAAACAAATTATATAGAAACTATAAACTAATTAAATAGAAATTTGAATATTTCCTAAGACCACTGAT